TGTATCGCGATTAGAGCAGGTTTGGTTTGCCCTGTTCAGAGGCACGTGGCTTGATAGTAATATTCCTTCTGCTGAGAATAGCAGATTGTTTGCTAGAAGGCCGTCAGTAAATAGTATACGTCACATAGCATATGACAGTAAATAGCGAATATTGGAATACAAGGTTCAGAGCCTCAGCTTCTTTACCCCTTGAGACGAGGGGTAGTCGCGACGGGTCTAACTCTAGGTATACACTGTTTAGGCGCTAGTCAGTGTACTACCAAAAGTAACATTTCGTTTTGCCGCTTCTCGCCGCGTCGATGGTGTATGCAATTGTTGTTTTGTCTTTTGTTTTACAGACTTACGGGCTTGCCACATGGGCATGAGTTCAGATACCTCTGCGCAGAAGAACGCTGAGACTGCCGTCCTTCCGTTGCCTCCATCGACCGCGGCCACCAGCCAGTTCGTGGCAAGTAATACGATCTTCAATGAAACAGTCGCTCGTAGCCCATCTGCCACAGCTGCTGCCGTCGCTTCCCGCTATTCCTCGTTCCCTTTCTACGGTAGGCGTTTTTTGCGATATATGATTTTGTGTGTTTGTGTTTTCGATTCTGTGCTTGCTTAACCGATTGGTCTTGTCTGATTTAAAATTGCATGATGGCCAAAGCAATGGAGAGTCCCCCTCCCCCATGGCCGTATTGTCTTCAGTTGAAAGTTTTGAAAGTGTTCGAGATTTGCGGTGACCATCGGTGACCCCGTTCAGCTCGAAGGTTGCATCCAGCTTCTTTCCATGCCTGTGAATTCTTTCAGACAGTGCATTCACTTCCTGCTTGTCCTGTGATCAGCCCTTCGAAAAACAGGTCGTCGATGACCCGTAAAAAATAGGAAATGTTTCGTTCCGGTCTGGCGAAATAAGTTGTAACGAGCTTGCAGCGCGTACGTTATCCATCTGCTCATTTCAGAGGCAGTAACCGTATAGTCGAAATAATAATAATAATAATAACAATCGATTAATACAATAATCCATCAGATTATAGATCGATACTGACATTTTGACTCGTATCACCCATCAGTCATCAAGGTAAAGCTTGGGGACGTTGGTGATACGAGATGATGCGATTGTTTGCCCTTGATTCTTGTGCAGCGTAAACGTCGATATTGGTCTATATGCTGATATACCACCTGAATTACTTTGTATGTGGATAAATGCATTTCGTACGGCGTTTCTGCAGAACTACCAACGCAACGCACGGAGAAAAAAATTTTTCTGTTAAACGTGTCATCCACGGAAAGCTCATGATGAAATACCTTTAGTAGTACCATGATGTCTTGTTACGTGATCGCATACAGTGATTTGTGCTAAATTTATCGCTTGACGTGCACCTGCATAAGCATCAACGTATGTTCTTTCAGCGGACTGGGTCTGATAACACATAAATCCTCTGAGGCAAGCTGTCATTAGAAACAAGGAGCAATGGTGATGTTAAGTTTATATAGGAGTACTAGCTGTAAGACATGGTCCATGAATAACATGAGTTGTCTGCAGAAAACAAAATTTTGCAATATGCATCTGGTTCTGCAGGTGCTCAAATGCCAAGTACCATGGATCTATGGTCTGTTGAAATCCTCCTTCCCTTTCTCTTCCCGAAGGCTACTGAGAGCAGGGGCGGTACAATACTCCTTGAAGTTTGGTCTCTTCTTACGAGTTATACATTATCTGGCTTAAAATGCTGTTTTGCAAAAAATAGGCTTTACGTGTTTCGTAAGGAAAACCTCTATTATCATTTAGAACAACTAAAAACTGAAAAGTTCAACAATCTCCTGTTCTTTCGATTCCTTGAGGGTGCTAAGGTGGCAAAGCAATAAGTGCTGATAGATGTTGAAGTGAGAACTCTGTTAAACGACTAAAAGATTATGAAAACCTGTAGCCGCTACGCGGTAGCATACCTCAGTTTTCCGTTTTGTTCCTCTGGTCAAATATTTTGCCTTACTTGGTTTGCTGCTTGTTCGTACGAGTCTCATCGTTTACTCAGAGGGTGTCCAGTACGTCTTTTTCTCGACGCAGTCACACCAGCGTCCGTCTGAGGTGTTCTGTTAAGAATACCAGCACTAGTACACGATAAAAATAGTTTGCATCATATATCTGGGCTGCTTTGCTGTTAAAACGTTGTTTGTTTTCATGACCTTGATAGCCACAAGAATATCAGTGAATTTCTCGGTTTCCTCACAACATTAAACGAATGCAGCTTTTCTCTCTTTTGTATATGTTTTATAGAGGTAAACTTGAGTACCAAGATGCAACATACGCTATTCTTTGATTTTGTCTGTTTTTTGTCTTTTATATGATACAATATTGTATAATTATTTGTATATCTATTTGTAATCTATGCAACTGTACTTCATCTTATCTGATTCGCTGTCTGTTTAGTTATCTATCAGTATACGATGTCTTCATTTATTTCTGTAGTTTTTTGTCTTCCCAGCTACTTCTTTGTTATCCGTATGTTCATTAATAGTATATCTGACTGTTTGTCTTTCTATTTGTCTATTTATTTATCCATTTGTCTTTCTACCTATTTGTCTTTTCCTTTATCTTTGAGCTTTACCTGTGTCCAGTTGTTTCTGTCTCTTCCAAAGTATATCGACTCTTATAATATACATCTTTCTAAGTCAGTCGTGGGGACACACACCCATGAGTCAAACAGTTTAATGTCAAGTCGATTTTTTAAGCAACATGGACGTAATCTGTCATCAAGGTCAGAAGGTGAATACATTTTTGTTTGTTTGGCTTAGTCGGCTTTTTAATCTTTCAAATATGTATTTGTTTAATTCGCTTGTTATATGTCTACGGTTCAAATTATGTCCATTTGTATTTGAACATGTTTTTTCTGACAAAACAAAGTATCGCTGCTTTTTCCCCATACATTGCAGGTGCTAAACTACCATGGAGCCTAGAACTTGCTTAACCGGTTCCGTAGGCTTCTAAAAGCAAGCAGACGGCGCGACTTGGCGATGTAAATCCGTAGAAGCGACAGTAAATTGTTTTTCAGATATTTATTACGATCTTCATTCTCGACTTATCATCATAATCATTAATAATATTAAGCATCATCGCTCCTGCTGTATGTCATCACTGCCGTCTTATTATCAGCATCCACATGTGGAACTACATTTTTCATTATAAGTACAGAAGAAACAGATAAAACCGGTAAATGGAATCCGGATTTATTTATTGAAGCAGAAAAGGGGAATAGTCAAATTTTGCAGCTTGCTTGTAGGCAGAAACAAAGTCGGTAGACTTGCGTCAACAGCCAACATTTCGAGTGCAACCCGGTGTTGTCCATCATGTTGCCATCACCGAAATGTTGGCATGTGATATTATTGACTTTTCACTCTGTTGTGAGTTTGTGTCGTTGAGTTACAAGTCTTTGTCATACGCGTTTTGACTGGCATTTAAGCTTCTGAAGACCATTGGTGCCAGTTGTGACCTAACGTGGATATGAGTATGGATGAGGATGAGGGTACTTTGTGCTGAAAAGTCAGCAAAAACTGAATACAGCCGCTGTGCGGATTCGCTCCCGAATCTCGTTGCGAAGTTATGTGGGGCACAGCAGACCGGAACGACCCTGACCTTAACGTTCGTATTCATTGTTCGATGCTGTTTACCGCGGGCGGGAGCCGTCAGTCGTCGTCTTCGTTGTTTCCGAAACGGAATGACGTGACATTTTGTTCGTTTTGCATGTTTTCTTTGCGCTCCGGAAACTTTCTATCAATCTAGCCTCAGCTGCCGGCCGAACTCATTCGACCATGCATCCGAATGACTGACCTACCGTACTTAGTGGTGCAGTTCGATGACGATGACAGTGGTCATAAGTTGGTGATGTTTGCGATGGTAATCTGTAGATGGTAGTCAAGGCACCGTTAAGGTTTTTCAGTGCTATTATCGACCATATATGCATATTCATGCATGCAGAAGGCAAGTATCGAAGATGTGCATGACTCTATTTAGTAAGGTCAGGTTTTAAGCCATTCTGTTAATTAGATATTCAGACAGTACATGTGCATGACATTGGATAACTCGATCTGATCCCGATGCACTGACTCTTTGTTATCCGTGCTCATGGTTCGTGGTTATGCTTTTAATTGGCAGGCTGTGATGGTAAGCCGTGACTGACAACAAAAGGAAAACAAAGGAAGACAATAAAACTCGGAGCAGGTCATCTCGTCTTAAATGACCCTGTTGTATTAACGCTCAGGCATGTTCGAACATTTGATTTGACCGTGGGAACGGATTTCCGGTTCACTGGTTGCTAATTAGCCTTCTTCGTTGCTAACCGAAGTCTAGAGTTCGTATAATGGCTCTTTTACAATGTCTAATATGCAAAGTCAACTAATCCGTTAGTGTCGACTTTGGAGGCGGCAGAGCATCTTAGTTACTTCTAAGACCATACGCTTGCTTACACACAGTTTGCATTTCGAGCTTGTGGTTTCATTTTCAATTCGGATCTACCTTCGGTAGTTCATATCGATTATGCTAATTTATCTGTTGGCTACAAAACAATGAACTCACTTCATTTGTTCACGAGGTAATTGGCATGACTTATTTTCGTTTCTTTCTACTTTTGCTGATGGATCTCGGATAAGGGCAGTTGTGCAACGAACTGTGACCTCAGATGATGGCTGTTCTGTCCTGTTCCATGATCAGTGGTCCTACTCTCGCAGCGTCTCTCAACCATGTATGTCGCTGACAACAGCGGAGACTGCATCGCAATGTATATGACGCTCTAGGAGGAAAGCTTCGGTGTCGCACAGGACGACTGCGTTGCGACCGATCATGTCAGTGACGACGATTAGTTCTGCGAGTTCGAGTGAAACTTATCCGCTGAGAACGAGATGGCACCGTTTTTAATGTTGAGGAACTGACTCTGATATTTCATACCAAAAGCAACAGTGGTTATTAACATCTTTGCACTTTTTCCTCTGTTCATATCTCTTTTACATACAGCAACA